ATGTGTATGCAGCGTGTGTTTATAGCGGTGTATGTAGCATGTGTATGTAGCATGTGTATGCAGCATGTGTATGCAGCGTGTGTTTATAGCGGTGTATGTAGCATGTGTATGCAGCATGTGTATGCAGCGTGTGTTTATAGCTGTGTGTGTAGCATGTGTATGTAGCGGGTGTATGTAGCGTGTGTTTATAGCGGTGTATGTAGCATGTGTATGCAGCATGTGTATGTAGCATGTGTATGCAGCGTGTGTTTAAAGCGGTGTATGTAGCATGTGTATGTAGCATGTGTATGCAGCATGTGTATGCAGCGTGTGTTTATAGCGGTGTATGTAGCATGTGTATGCAGCATGTGTATGCAGCGTGTGTTTATAGCGGTGTGTGTAGCATGTGTATGTAGCGGGTGTATGTAGCATGTGTATGTAGTGGGTGTATGTAGCATGTGTATGTAGCGGGTGTATGTAGCATGTGTATGTAGCGGGTGTATGTAGCATGTGTATGTAGCGGTGTATGTAGCATGTGTATGTAGCGGGTGTATGCAGCATGTGTATCCAGCATATGTATGTAGCATGTGTATGCAGCATGTCTATGTAGCATCTGTATGTAGCGTGTGTATGTAACATGTGTATGTAGCGTGTGTATGCAGCGCGTGTTCATAGCGTGTGTATGTAGAAAGAGTATGTAGCTAGTGTTTGTAGCATGTGTATGTAGCGTGTGTATGCAGCGCGTGTATGTAGCATGTGTATGTAGCGGGTGTATGTAGCATGTGTATGTAGCATGTGTATGTAGCATGTGTATGTAGCGGGTGTATGTAGCATGTGTATGTAGAATGTGTAGGTAGCGGGTGTATGTAGCATGTGTATGTAGCGGGTGTATGTAGCATGTGTATGTAGCATGTGTATGTAGCAGGTGTATGTAGAATGTGTAGGTAGCGTGTGTATGTAGCATGTGTATGTAGCGGGTGTATGTAGCATGTGTATGTAGCGGGTGTATGTAGCATGTGTATGTAGAATGTGTATGTAGCATGTGTATGTAGCATGTGTATGTAGCGGGTGTAGGTAGCGTGTGTATGTAGCATGTGTATGTAGCAGGTGTATGTAGCAGGTGTATGTAGCGGGTGTATGTAGCATGTGTATGTAGCATGTGTATGTAGCATGTGTATGTAGCGGGTGTATGTAGCATGTGTATGTAGAATGTGTATGTAGCATGTGTATGTACCGTGCGCATGTAGCGGGTGTATGTAGCATGTGTATGTAGCGGGTGTATGTAGCATGTGTATGTAGCGGGTGTATGTAGCATGTGTATGTAGCATGTGTATGTAGCAGGTGTATGTAGAATGTGTAGGTAGCGTTGTATGTAGCATGTGTATGTAGCGGGTGTATGTCGCATGTGTATGTAGCGGGTGTATGTAGCATGTGTATGTAGCGGGTGTTTGTAGCGGGTGTTTGTAGCATGTGTATGTAGTATGTGTTTATAACGTGTGTATGTAGAATGTGTAGGTAGCGGTGTAGGTAGCATGTGTATGTAGCGGGTGTTTATAGCGTGTGTATGTAGCATGTGTATGTAGCATGTGTATATAGATGGTGTTTGTAGCGTGTGTTTATGGCGTGTGTATGTAGAATGTGTATGCAACGTGTGTTTATAGCGTGTGTATGTAGGATGTGTATGCAGCGGATGTTTATAGCGTGTGTAAGTAGAATGTGGATGCAACGTGTGTTTATAGAGTGTGTATGTAGAATGTGTATGCAGCGTGTGTATGTAGAGGGTGTATGCAGCGTGTATTTATAGCGTGTGTATGTAGAATGTGTATGTAGCGTGTGTATGTAGAATGTGTATGCAGCGTGTGTTTATAGCGTGTGTATGTAGTATGTGTATGTGTATGTATGCATGTGTGTTTATAGCATGTGTATGTAGAATGTGTATGTAGCGGGTGTATGTAGCATGTGTATGTAGCGGGTGTATGTAGCATGTGTATGTAGCGGGTGTATGTAGAATGTGTATGTAGCGGGTGTATGTAGCATCTGTATGCAGCGTGTGTTTATCGCGTGTGTATGTAGCATGTGTATGTAACGGGTGTATGTAGCGTGTGTATGTAGCATGTGTACCTAGCGTGTGCATGTAGAATGTGTATGTAGCGTGTTTTTTTTATAGCATGTGTATGTAGAATGTGTAGGGAGCGGTGTATGTGGCATGTGTATGTAGCGGGTGTATATAGCATGTGTATGCAGCGTGTGTATGTAGCATATGTATGTAAAATGTGTGTGTAGCATATGTGTTCAGCATATGTCTGTAGCGTGTGTATGTAGCGCGTGTGTTTGTAGCATATGTATGTAGAAGGTGTATGTAGCATGTGTATGTAGCTTGTATATGTAGCGGGAGTAAGTAGCATGTGTATGTAGCGGGTGTATATAGCATGTGTATGTAGCTGGTGTATGTAGCATGTGTATGTAGCATGTTTATGTAGCGGGAGTATTTAGCATGTGTATGTAGCATGTGTATATAGCATGTGTATATAGCGTGTGTATGTAGCATGTGTATGTAGCGTGTGTATGTAGCGGGTGTATATAGCATGTGTATGTAGCGGGTGTATGTAGGATGTGTATGTAACATGTGTATGTAGCGTGTGTATGCAGCATGGGTATGCATCGTGTGTTTGTAGCATGTGTATGTAGCGTGTGTATGTAGCATTTGTATGGAGCATGTTTATGTAGCGGGAGTATGTAGCATGTCTATGTAGCATGTGTATGTAGAATGTGTAGGTAGCGGTCTATGTAGCATGTGTATGTAGAATGTGTAGGTAGCGGGTGTATGTAGCATGTGTATGCAGTTTGTGTTTGTAGCATGTGTATGTAGAATGTGTATGTAGCATATGTATGTAGCATGTGTATGCAGCTTTTGTTTGTAGCATGTGTATGTAGAATGTGTATGTAGCATGTGTATGTAGCTTGTATATGTAGCGGGAGTATGTAGCATGTGTATGTAGCGGGTGTATATAGCATGTGTATGTAGCGGGTGTATGTCGCATGTGTATGTAGCATGTTTATGTAGCGGGAGTATTTAGCATGTGTATGTAGCATGTGTATATAGCATGTGTATGTAGCGGTTGTATGTAGCATGTGTATGTAGCGTGTGTATGTAGCGGGTGTATATAGCATGTGTATGTAGCGGGTGTATATAGGATGTGTATGTAGCGTGTGTATGCAGCATGGGTATGCATCGTGTGTTTGTAGCATGTGTATGTAGCGTGTGTATGTAGCATGTGTATGGAGCATGTTCATGTAGCGGGAGTATGTAGCATGTCTATGTAGCATGTGTATGTAGAATGTGTAGGTAGCGGGTGTATGTCGCATGTGTATGCAGCTTGTGTTTGTAGCATGTGTATGTAGATTGTGTATGTAGCATATGTATGTAGCATGTGTATGCAGCTTTTGTTTGTAGCATGTGTATGTAGAATGTGTAGTTAGCGGTGTATTTATCATGCTGGTTTGATCCAAATATGTTGTTGGGAACACAAAGTATACACTTGAAAATTGGGTTTGACAAAAACATTACAAATTTATCAAGACGTTAGCAGGCTGGAAACAGTCGCCGAGGCATTGCACACTTAAGGTTCAAAACACCAAGATGATATCCGTATCAAATACATCACCATCGAGTAACAGCTTCTTGCTTGTATCATTTACACCATCTATCACCATCATTTTGCCCTGCTGTTTATGTTAAACGTTTATACGTCGTCTCGAAATGTCTACGAGTCATGTAATCTCTCCTCGGACATGATAAGTCACGTACAAAGGTAAAATAGTGCCTTGACGTCACACAACTGTTGACACAATCCTTGATTTACCTCATCAATCAACTCCGGAGATCCGGGTTGGAATTGGAATTGGTCTTCAGCAACCCGTGCTTGTAGGTGGCGACTAACGGGATCGGGTGTCAGGACATGGTTCATGCATGTCAGTGAATCTTATTTGCGTTGATCGAAGCTGTTGATATCAGTCACTGGATTGTCTCGATTATTTACAGACCGCCGTCATAGCTGGAATATTGCTGCGTGCGGCGTTATACAGCAAATAGACAACACAGAGTCTAATGCGTGTAGGTTTACACTGTTTACCTAATGGTTCCTTCATATATGCAAATTTCACGCATCTGTGATTAAATGTTGTTATTTCTAAAATAATATATGTCGAACATGACCACGTGTATGAGGTATCACAGGCTTCGAGAAGGATGGAGCCCACCCATGACTCTTACACATGATAACTGATCGTTCACTCGACATATTTGTTATGTCCCGTGAAGACCCGGGGTAGAATTAGTCTTCAGCAACCCATGCCTGTCGTAAGAGGCGACTTACAGGATCGGGTGGTCAGGCCCGGTTGATGGCTGATGCATGTCATCGTACCCCAATTGCGTGGATAGATGCTCGTGGTGTCAATCAGTGGATTGTCTGGTCCAGCCACGATTATTGTCAGACCGCCGTCACATAGATGAAATATTGCTGTGTGCGGCGTTAAACAACAAACCAACATGTTTATTATGTCAGCATGCTAGGATGTTTTTGGCGGAGAACATTTTAATCCCAGTACAGAAATTTTGACATTTCCGTATATATTATACAGTGTATATGGCGTCATAGCGAGTGGTTATGTCCTCTTACAATAAGTATATTTCAAACATCGCTTCCTCTTTTTGTTTTTCGTAACAAAGAAGATATGGGGCAACAAGAAGAGCCAGCTACAGGGATTCAAGTGATTTCTTAAAGGCGTTGGAATTCTGGAGCAACAAAAGAATCGACTAAGAGTAAAAGGGTTAATTCACTTCTAGAAGAATAAGACACCTCAAAAGTCTTATCATATTTCGTTTGTGAACAGCTGTACCGAGCTTTAATATCGATTACTGCAAAACGCGAAATATACTTGTATCCGAGCCATGATTAGAGGACATTTCCCTCGTACATTCAGGACTGTTCTACCAGAAATAATCCTATGTTAATCGACAGGTGCCATCTACAGCGCATTGTCGGGAATCTACATTGACAGCGTCCTTGCTAGTGTGGGCGGCATATTGGGTATTACATTCATTCCTTTGTGGAGCATCGGGTTTGCTGTAAGTAATAATAATAATAATAATAATAATAATAATAATAATAATAATCCATTTATTTACGTTTTCCATGTTGTATATCATGCTCAAAACGCACATTACCCTTGTGAATGAATGGATGTGCACACGAAGTTCGTTCTCAGCTCCATGGGGAGTATATAATCCCAATTGCCTATGAGGCAATAGAAGGTTGACAGTCAATGAGGATACACCACCTGTAGAATGCGGGACAGGACCGAAGTACATACATACATGCATGCATCCATCCATCCATCCATCCATCCATCCACCCATCCATCCATCCGTCCGTCCGTCCGTCCGTCCGTACATACATACATACATACATACATACATACATACATACATACATACATACGTACGTACGTACGTACGTACGTACGTACGTACGTACTCCGATATGAAATATTATAGGAATAGTACACTTTTGGAAAACACCAGTAAGAATAATTATTCTTATTCTTATATTCATATTATTAATTGCATGACAGAATAATCTTTATGTCTGAAATATGCATACACAGGTGTGACATTGAATAATTATCCCCATACTCTAACATGTATCTTTGATTGGCATAGACTACCTGTCACATGTTTAAATAAACATGAACCAATGTAACACACACCGCTGAGGACGCCACCTCTCTTGATCCAAAACTTACTGCCCTTTAAGAACAAAACTATGTCAGAAAGTGGGACGCCACCTCTCTTGATCCAAGACTTCCCGCCCTTTAAGAACAAAACTATGTCAGAAAGTGGGACGCCACCTCTCTTGATCCAAGACTTACCGCCCTTTAAGAACAAAACTATGTCAGAAAGTGGGACGCCACCTCTCTTGATCCAAGACTTACCGCCCTTTAAGAACAAAACTATGTCAGAAAGTGGGATTCAAACTAATGACCAGCTGTTCAAGGCACAACTAAAGGACGACAATTTTGCTCAGAGAATTGAGATGACTTAATCCACTGCCCCGTGCCCAATTTAATGAGACGGCAGAGGGAGAGAAGCATGATGGGCACGACACCTGGTATCACCTTTATTTTTTAAGAATAAATAAAAGCGACAAAACCCATTCCGTTTTAATAAGAACAGAGTCGATTGCACGATTCCGATCATATCATTAACATGTGTTTAGGAATCACTATCAAATAGAGTTACAAGGTATTCGCGAAAAAGTGAGCGTATCCTGCGTCATTCGTCACAAACACATGCAAAAACACGTCAATTGATCACCTGAAAGAAACACGGGAGTATTTAGTACAAATCAAAATAAGGAAATGTATCGGACATAATTTTTGTCACTGATGCGTCAAATTTGGATAAACCCACCATAAAACATTTTGAAAGCTTTACTGAGGCCTTGAATGTTGTTGTAACCTTGATCGAGCAACTTTTGAGCAAGAATCGTATAAACACATGCTTACGATAATGTACAATGCTTTTAATAGAGTTTTCTTATTATGGTGGCAATGGAAATGTCGCTTGTATTTATTTGACACAATGTTCGTATTTTAGCCACAAACCAAAGTTGACTGATTTTATTATTGACTTTGCTTGCAACATTTATATACTTTGTATACTGTATGTGTCTCTTTTGTCTATTGCTTCAGTACATCGTTCCAGGACTCCTCGGGCTCCTAGCAACCTGCACAAAGGCGAAATGTGCTGTAAGTGAAACCATATCAGTCAAGATCGCATTCGATTAGCAGCAAGATAGTGAGTTTGGTTTTACACCGCTTTTAGCAATATCACGGAGGGGAACACCAGCAACGGGTTTGACACATTGTACCCATGTGGAGAATCGAACCCGGGCCTTCGGTGTGACGAGCGAACACTTTAACCATTAGGCTGCCACATCGCCAAGAGAAACACGTTCTGGTACACATTTTAATATAAATATCTTGGTAAAAGAAAGTATTCATTTGAAAATTGGACTTTACTTCAAAATTACAGACAAGGAAGAGAATTTATGGATGTTAACTTCTTTATTATGAGGAACACAACGTTTCGGACTATATGCGTATTCCTTCACCAGGTGAGCATATTTATGTTCATGAAAGAACAACAAAAGTAATAAGATAAGAAAAGGTGAAAACTTAACCAGATAATTGGCGCTGACAGGTGATTTTCTAGCGGCAAGCCATCAACAAGCCAATGGCAGAGGCACAAGAAATGTAAGTCCCTACCCCCGAGGATGTATATACCAGATCCCCTGCAACTTCGGCCACCGGTTCATTAGAGAAACCCTCAGACCCCTCAACACAAGACTCAAAGAACATAAGATATGTGTCAACAAACTAGACCCCCACATGAATGTGTGTGTGTGTGTGAGTTGGGTTTTTAACGCCGCTTTTAACAGTATTCCAGTTATATCACGGGGTGTCAGCTTAATGTGGGAGGAAAGCCCGAAGTGATGCAGGTCTCAGACGTTTACCACTTCGGTGAAACCCACGAGCACGGGTTTGGTGCTGACAAACCTAGAAACATAATCGGGGCGAACCGGGATTCGAACCCACAATCATAGGTTTCTGGCGTGCCCAAGGGACGCAACTCTGCACAGCGAATTGCGGCGCCTTAGACGACTGGGCCACCCGTGCCCCCCGACCCCCACATGAAACACATGGCCATCGAATAACCATTTCCTGTTTGTTTCTGTTTAGCCACCATCATACATAGGTGTAAACGTTTTTTACCCTGCAATTTACTAGCAATTAGATGCTATAAGAGGATCGGATGGTTGTTGCATGTGGATAGTTTACAACCCTGGAAGATTGTAACAATAACCAATTGTGTTTTGGTCATTGAACCCTGTTTGGGATAATGCAGTTACTGCCTACAGATGGATGCACCTGTGATAACCTGCTGCCCATATGAATAGTATTACATTGCATGAACGTACATTTACAACACAATGAAGTATTTCAATGTTATTTTCTTCTTCAGTACATCACCCAGATGGTGTTCTGCATCCTTACTCTCCTGATCATGGGGATCTTCGTCATCATAGCCTTGCTGTCATTAACTGCCCTCAGTTACGTCGCGGCTGGATGCCAGTAAGAAGCTTTATCATTATTCTGTACTCCCTGTGATTACCTGAAAAAAGGCATAGGTTGTCCGGTGGTCCAGTTTAGGCTGAGGGGCTCTCAGTCTAGTTTAATCGTGTTTGATTTTCAATTGAAAATAGCTTACGTTAGTAATATTACATCCAAAATATTATATCCTGTATTGGCGCTAAGTCATCACTAAAAGCATACTAATGCATCGTTTTATTTCTTAAAACATGATTTGATTTAAAACTTTTAAAAATTGTCCGGTGGTCTAGTTTAGGCTGAGGGGCTCTCAGTCTAGTTTAATCGTGTTTGATTTTCAATTGAAAATAGCTTACGTTAGTAATATTACATCCAAAATATTATATCCTGTATTGGCGCTAAGTCATCACTAAAAGCATACTAATGCATCGTTTTATTTCTTAAAACATAATTTGATTTAAAACTTGTAATAATTAAAAAATAATCGCATCAAGCACAACTGATGATCGATGTGTTAGACATATTATCTTTGAAAATCAATAAATTAACTTTTTCAGAAACAAATGTATAATGGTAGGGATCATGTTATTGCAAATTCAGTCTTCTTTGAACCAATTAGTTTTTACCAAAACTATCCAGCTACAGATAACCCTTTACAAACTGTTGCAGGAATGAGCTTTGGTTATCTACACATGATCACATTTAACAACAGTTCCTTCATTTTTTTGATTACATAAAAAACAAACTTTGTATTCTTCTATCCCCCCTCAGTTTAGAAATATTGTACACAGAATAGTCTCCCTTAAGCGAACAGTGAAGATGCAGGGAGAGAATAAAAGGCGACTAACGGGATCCAGTGGACAGGCTCGCGGACGTGGTTGCACACCCCAACCCCCAACCAAAAAATAAAATAAAATAAAATAAATTAAAATTAAGATAAACAATATATATTTATACCTCCTACCCTGCCCCCTCCAGATAAAGTAAATTAACAGTTCCCGAATGATGTTCAAATTACAAACACTAGAAACGAGTCAATGTCTGACACACTGTGACAACTAACATACTGTTCCAAGCAGTATCAGATTCAGATACGGTACATATGCTTCCTGTGAAAGGTCTGAAGCGTTTCCATTTCATGTAATGTTTCTTTCTAATAATAACGGAGGGTATGGCGAGCCAATTCGTCTGAGGCACCGCAATTCGCTGTGCAGAGTTGCGTCCCTTGTGCACACCAGAAACCTATGGTTGTTGGTCCGGGGTTCGTACCCGTGCTTGTGGGTTCCACCAGTATGGTAAGCGTCTGAGGCCTGATTCACTTCGGGATTCCCCTCACATTTAGCTGACACGCAGTGATATGACTGGAATACTGTTAGAAGCAGCGTTTAATCCAACTCATTCACACTCTTATTTGTTTAGATCCTCATCCTCGGGCTCATGCTCCCTTACTTCCGGAAGCTTCTACGCTGTTCTCTACAGCATCTCCATCAGCATGGTCCTTGGCTGGGTCCTCACACTGGTCATCACAATACTCGGCGGCATGCTGGCCTGCAGACGACCGGTAATGTGGACAAACCATATCAAACATTTTGCATTTATAGTGGAGCAGTTTCTTGACAGATACGGGGTCAATTGTGCACTTTGTGATAAAAGCATGAAACTTGGCACAGTTGAAGGTAATAACATTCCAAATATTCTCTGATATGGGGTCATTTCCAATATGGCCGCCATGGAGGAATGGAATTCTGGTATTTTTCATGTTAACATGACCCACAAACTACAAATAAAATGAAAATGAACATTTTGGAATATATCACCCAACACTACATCTCTGTAAAGTAAATATAATTTTATCACAAGAGACTATTTATGTTGATGTACGTTATCTATGGTGTGACAAAAATAGAAAAATATGCATTTCTTACGTTTTAGGCATTTCTTTGATACAGACTACATGCTGGCCAACTAACTTTACCAATATTGTGTACTGATATGTTGAATGCAATGACAACAAAATATTTAAAAAAAATATTTTGTATCATTAACATATCCTCTAAATGGCTCATTGATTGGGGTGATTTGGGACAATTAAATGTGATCACAGTTGCCACCACATTTGCAAAGTGGTGTATCAATTAAATGTGTCACATTTGCCACCACATTTGCAAAGTGGTGTATCAATTAAATGTGTCACATTTGCCACCACATTTGCAAAGTGGTGTATCAATTAAATGTGTCACAGTTGCCACCACATTTGCAAAGTGGTGTATCAATTAAATGTGTCACAGTTGCCACCACATTTGCAAAGTGATGTATCAATTAAATGTGTCACAGTTGCCACCACATTTGCAAAGTGGTGTATTAATTAAATGTGTCACAGTTGCCACCACATTTGCAAAGTGGTGTAGCAATTAAATGTGTCACAGTTGCCACCACAATTGCAAAGTGGTGTATCAATTAAATGTGTCACAGTTGCCACCACATTTGCAAGTGATGTATCAATTAATTGTGTCACAGTTGCCACCACATTTGCAAAGTGGTGTATCAATTAAATGTGTCACAGTTGCCACCACATTTGCAAAGTGGTGTATCAATTAAATGTGTCACAGTTGCCACCACATTTGCAAAGTGGTGTATCAATTAAATATGTCACAGTTGCCACCACATTTGCAAAGTGGTGTATCAATTAAATGTGTCACTTTTGCCACCACATTTGCAAAGTGATATATCAATTAAATGTGTCACATTTGCCACCACATTTGCAAAGTGGTGTATCAATTAAATGTGGCACAACACAGCCACATCCTGCTCAGGAGCCACATTCTGCATTCAACCAAACAGCAATTTTTTTCAGACATGGGATGCATTTCTGAGAATTTTCGAGGACAAGACAGAACTGTTCTTGGCCGAATTAGTTGTTTCATTAGAATGTTGGGATAAACAAAATTGTAAACACTTCCGGCAAACATGTTCTATGTAACAAAGGGTCAGAATTTTACAATCATCTGAATCGATGTTCAGATAAAGAAACTGACACAAGATTCGTTTTGCACATGTCTTATGCTGTCATCATGGTAGGATGTTTATTCGAACAGTTGATACTGATGTCACTGTTCTGGCCATTGTTTGACAGAGTAGATGTGTCTCACCTCTGGATAGCTTTTGGAACTGGCAAACAATTCAGATGTTAGGCTAGTCAACTAATGTCTCACACTGTCATATTTCAGGCAACCCAAGGACAGGTCATGGTACCCATGACACAAATGACAGTCGTGACTGGCAGTAATAGCATGCAGCCCATGGGCCACATGACCTACCCTAACAACAGTGCCTACACGCAAGGCACAGGCTACCCTGACAACAGGGCCTACACGCAAGGCACAGGATACTCTGACAACAGGGCCTACACGCAAGGCACAGGCTACCCTGACAATAAGGCCTACACGCAAGGCACAGACTACCCTGACAACAGGGCCTACACGCAAGGCACAGGCTACCCTGACAACAGGGCCTACACGCAAGGCACAGGCTACCCTAACAACAGTGCCTACACGCAAGGCACAGGCTACTCTGACAACAGGGCCTACACGCAAGGCACAGACTACCCTGCCTATATGCAACCTTCAGACTACCAGTCGTCTCGCCAAGGGCGAGAAAAGTACTAAAACGTTTGGTTAAACCTTGCCTAAATGTTATTTACGAACACAATATAGTTTTGAAAAAGGTATGAAAGGACCAAATATGCACACTTCACTGTAATGTATTATTGGTTATTTACAAATAAAACAAGTACACATGTTATAACCATACATTACTTAAATGCTACTCTGAATTTGTGAGTCAAAACGGGAATACCTTTGATGTTAATAACGCATGATGGATGAGCATATTTTTTCGTAATCCAGTTCTGATTTGTTCTTGAAACTGGGTGTCAAGGATAATGCACGCCATATTACGATCTGTTAGATATTAGATTGGCTCCCATCATCGCAGTGCAAATACCTTCAAATCTCACCATATACTACTCATTCTTTTATGACTTCAATCAATCTTTATTCTTATGGTAGTGGAGGCCATAGGCCCATTCTTCGGTTACATCATTGCTTGAGAGAATGACAGCATATATACATTGGTACATTGATATATATTGTTTATCCAAGTCTTTGTCTTAGTTGCATTGATTTATATACAAACGTTTGAAAAAATGTGTGAAGACATTCGTAAACTAAAATGAAGTCTTTGGGGGATATTTACACACTCCTGAAATTGCCATAAGCTTAGCACACAAGTACCAAATGGTATTCATCCTCTAGGCATCTTTGTTTACATACATGACATATTCTATCTGATTCTGATTCTTTAACATAACGGAATTTTGAAAAGGATTTTTAAAAATATAGAAATCAAACCCTAAGACTATTTTGAAAGAAGCGAAGGCTACCTATTTTGAACAGAAAAAAAGTGCTGCATGCCAATATTGCTCGTAGGATGAGTTCAGTCTATACACAAACTCTGTTATAAACCTAGATACACTATAAACACTCTGCCAGACATATCCGAAATCAAAACTGTATAAAATGGCTTTAATTTTTAAAGCCCAGTTGGTCTTTCCATTCACAGTTTGTTTGTTTGTTTGTTTTTCATAACAATGATTTACAGAGTTTATGTGGAGTGTTGCTTTCAACAGCTAAACTACATAATCTACATGTATTTCACTACGTTTGCGCCAGGGTATTCCTTGCAAAGAATAAGTGGAGAAAGAGTGTATTAAATGAAATATCTACCCATGAGGAAGACGTATGGAAATATTAATTATCATGTAGAGCTGACCTGTTTCGATATTCTAAACTTTACACATCTCTTACTCCTCATGCACTATACAGCATTGTAAAGTTACATCCAGAATTGAGAAAAGAAATCCAGTATGTAAAAGGCATTGGATCCAGAAGCAAACAATTTAATCTTATTAAAATCAGACCTTAGTTCTCGCTCCCGCTTAACAAAGATCTGCGGACATCCCATTAGGCGTCACGTCAGAACAACCTTCCATCCGACCAATCAGAGCGTCGCTTACCAGATTATGAAAGTGACAGTCGGAATGTGATTTCTAATCATGCAACCTCGAAAACTTTAACACAGGGTATTCCGAACGATAGTTACGGGTGTAACGACTGAATCCATACAATCTAGACCATCTATTAGCCATTCCAGGATGTTCTTTTGTTCAGGTTTCACATTTGTAAGCGAAAATTTGTCAAAATATGTTTCGAAGCGTAGTCGCCAATTTGACATTAGTGCAGTAAAGCACGAGAAAGCTGCCTTCTGATTGGTCATTTCATTGGTCGGTCAAAGTTCGCGCAAGGTCGTTCTGACGTGACCCGTAATGGGATGTCCTCAGATCTTTGTTTAGCGGTAGCGAGAACTAAGATCTGATTTTAATGAGATTGCAAACAATCTAAGGAATGTGCAAAATGTGATACTTTTGCCAATGATTATTTTCACCATATCATCTGAAACTGGGAATGTGTACTTCCAGAGAGAGATGTATTCTTTTCCACTCCAATTGATAATGATGAAATATATGTTAAAATATAGATGATGGAAGACCATGACATGTTAGCATGCTTTCTTTATAATAATGACATTGATGAAACAACGTGGCATGTCAATATTGTAGAATTATCAAAGTATTTATGTCAAATTAAAAATATCCTATTGGTAATATTACCAATAGTTCTTACTGCTTATAGCTTGTATATATACGGGACATGTTTGATTATTTTGTTATTTAATTATTTAATTACATAAGAGAATCTTCGGATTTATCTGGAGGAAATAAAGACATTCATTCATTCACTCATTCATATATTCAAGCATATTAATTATTTTACACCAGTATTTAACAGCCCTTTTTCATGTGAATATATATACATAGGATATCGTCCACATTCACGTCTAACTAAATGATTTGGGGACAATATTTCAACACAAAATAAACGTTTGAACGCAAACATTTGAATTGTTTTGATTTCTTTGTGAATATCCTTATTTCTGAACCATAAAGTAAAATGGTACTAATTTTGGTATCAAACATTGTAAAACATAGACCATATGGGAGTGGCTTAATCATATACAAGGATTTGAATACACCACAAAACAATCTTCTTCACTTGCACATCAGGTTTATCAACGTGAATGGAACAGTTTCAAGATCAGTGTCATACACATACCATTTTTCATGTTTAGATAGTATACCACCAATTTTAAAAACAACAGTTTTCGTGTTTTCTAAGTTCACAGATAACAGGTGACTTTCACAGAAACATTCTACAACGTTAATACGTTTTTGGAAACCATGTAGAGAATCTACCAGAAGCACTACGTCATCTGCAAATAATAATAGAAATAGTTGTATAATATCCGGATGCATCTGTATCCCATGTTCACAGTTTGATTCGATTCCTAAAGCTAACTCATTCATAAACATGGAACATAATAGTGGTATTAACACACATCCTTGTCTTACACCCAGTGGATAGTCAAACTTTTGTGACAGATTATTGTATTCGTGTACTAGGCCCTTTACACACTTATTGATGGATGTGAGAGCACATAGCATTTACCGCGAAACGCCCCTATGTTTCAGTACGAACCATAGCTTGGATCTATTAACAAGATCAAAAGCCTTTCTATAATTAAATAATATGGCATAAAGCTTACCTTTCATTGATAAATAACGTTGAATAATGGCTTGGGGGATTAACATGTATAACCCTGCCTAAAACCCGCTTCTGACTCAACACTTTTTTCATAAGAATCAGCCCAGAATGTCAGTCTGTTATTGAGTATAGGTGTATACAATCGGGGAAGGCGACCGGTAAAGGGATCACCGTTCAGGAGGAATCAGCTGGAAAAAAAGTATGTAAAAATTGCATGATTTCTTTTTTAGGTGCTATATGAGTGAAACAAGACTCAATTGTTACGTATGGACTGTAATAATTATGAAATCTGTCCATTAAAGCCTTTAAAATCAAAATTGTTACGAGGTATCATAAAGGTACCACACAGTCGGACGCACATCGATCTCAATAAAATCAGATCTTAGTTCTCGCTGCCGCAAAACAAAGATATGAGGACATCCCATTACGGGTCACGTCAGACAGACCTTTTGCGAACTCTGACCGACCAATGAAATTACTGACAAGAAGTCGACATTAGCCAATCAGCCAATCTCGTGCTTTACTGCACTAATGTCAAATAGGCGACTACGCTTCGAAACATATTTTGACAAATTCTCGCTTACAAATTTGAAACCTGAACAAAAGAACAATCTGGAATGGCTAATATGTGGTCTAGATTGTATAGATTCAGTCATTAAGCCCGTAACTATCGTTCGGAAAACCCTGTGTTAAAGTTTTCGAGGTTGGATGATTAGAAATCACATTCCGACTGGTAAGCTACGCTCTGATTGGTCGGATGAAAGGTCGTTCTGACGTGACCTCTAATGGGATGTCCTCAGAACTTTGTTTAGCGGTAGCGAGAACTAAGATCTGATTTTAATTAGTTTGGACGCACATGTATGCAGCATAACGTTAGCACAGACACGCTGCAGAACAGGCAATTAACATTATACGTTCGCTTCATCCGGCATCTTTCATCATTGCTCACAGAGTAACAGCGACCACGATCTGTTTCCCCACATATGCTCTGATCAAGCTTCTGGTGGAGGTTCATCGGACGCAACTTTTCAACACGAATAATACCATATGTTGACTGCAATGCGACCAGAAAACAGTGTTTTTGTGTTTGTATGTTAAGAAAGGGAATGTATGACAAGTCAATTAGTGTCCAAAATAATGACAATTATGTTGTTTTTTATAATACACGTCCTGCTAAATATGACGTGCGTATTATGACCAACCGGTCCCTGTAAATTAAAAAATGTATTTTGTCTCCGGCACCCTTTTGTCGTATAGAAAGCTCTTCTTCAATAAACATTCAAAGTAACACAATTTTAATACCAGATACCTGCGGTTTCTGTCAATGTTTGTGATGTGAAAAAAGTTTGTTTTCATAATAACTATTTCAAAGTTATCTATCAAACGATTAAGTCATGTATCGTTAAAAAGAAACATTAAATAAGAATCTGCCTGTATGAGAAACGTTTAAGTTTAGCGATTACAAAATTAATGATGAGAGTTTGGGTGGTATTCCAGACTGACGAAGGATGATGGGAATCCAGGTTCTTTACCTCAACTTGATACTAAAATGATAAAATGTGATAAAATGTTTGTCCTTTTAATTGCATACTCCTATTAAAAGCATCCATTTTATTGACAACTGAATTATGTAATTAAATACATTCAAGTTGTACAGTCCATGGTACAACTGCGAGTATGGTTGTTGTAAATACCACCACTGTGCTTGTCGTAAGAGGCGACTAACGGTATCGGGTGGTCAGGCTCGCTGCCTTTGTTGATGCATGTCATCGTATCCTAGTTGCGTGGATCGATGCTCATGATGCCAGTCACTGGATTGTCTGGTCCAGACTCGATTATTTACAGACCGCTGCCATATAGCTGGAATATTGTTGAGCGCAACAAACAACCACCACGCCATCTGGTCCTGGTCGTTTGTTATTTGCATCATTTAGTATTTTAAATATAACTTCTTGATCAGTGATTGATTAATTAAGTTCTCCGCTGCATCATGAAAAAGAGTATCCATATTAGCGTGCAAAATAGTGTAGAAATCGCACAGTGACTCGCTAAATAGGCACTCAAACTGCGTGACAGGCTTATTTTCATAATCTTTAGACCACTAATACCTACCACTGAGTACCCAGGGTACGGCAATACCATAGTTACTATGTGTTAAATTACCCCCTTGACATTCTTGACATATCGAATGCATCGCTATAATATAGTCATCTGTTTCATTTATGTATTCAACCGTACCATCAGCAATATGGTCCAGGAAATATTTCATCCTTGTGTTCAAATCACTTCCAAGAAAATATGTTCAAGATTATAATTTGACCTCACTGTAAGAACCTGATCTTGAAAATATTGCACGTCATAGAATCCGCAACCAAAATACATTCCATTTACAATATGATAGATTGAGCGTGTGAAAATTTGTAGTGACATCGGCAATATTTCAGAAAATAAACACATTTTAAGTACATTATGACGGATTGGGTGAGTTCAAATTTCAATATTTCAGAAATATTGGGAAAATATGTTGGGCAAAGAGTGCAAATGTTCTGTTGGTGACATTAAGACGATGTGTAACGTGTGTACAATACTAGAAGATGAACCTCATGTAGTTTTTAGTATCCCAATGATACGCTTCGACAATATAAATTATATATAGTGCATATACATGTACATATATATTGTCGAAGCGCACATAAAATATGTTGCTTCAGAAATAATCAGTGATGTGAAGGGCATATAATATGAATTCATACCAAAATAAACTGTCTGCCTGTAGGTATGTCTGTTGTACCTGGTGTTAATCGGGTTATCGGTTCCTTCTAAAGAATCAAGATGTGAGTTTGGGTATGCTAGTGATTGTAATGATGCTAGTGTCAGTGACTACTTCCCAGTGTGATTAACATCAATCTTATGCAAGGGTACTTTAAATTTGAATGCACATACTAAAAACAATTATATACTTTTCTATGGAATCCTAGAAGGGACATTGTCGCGTAGTCGCATTGTTGCCCTTACCAACAACAGAAAAACTAGCAAAAAGTGTCAAAATTAACTGAAGTGCGACAATGCGACAATGCGACAACGCGACTTTTTTGCAATTGATGGCATTGACGCGTTGTCGCATTGTCGCGCTTTTAATAATCTTTTTTTATTTTTCCAAATAGCGACAATGCGTCGAGACATTTATTTCATTGTCACAGTGTGTCGCGTTATCGCATTGTCGCCCCATTAAACATGTGTAAAATAAGGCACTATCGCGTTGTCGCTTATTTCAATTAATGGTGCGCATCTGCTGTTAGTGAATTATTCTACGCATGCGCCGAAATGGTTATACTCCTTTTCAAGCTCCGATGTCCTTGTGTTGGCTCCAATAGTTCTAAAACCAAAGTAGCAATGGCAATGTGGGTTCCTTTTCTTAAAATTTAAACAAATCTTTCATTGTTGCTTTAGAAATTAGTTCATGTTCCGTTATTGTCTGTGTTCGGTTTTCATAAACCAAACGTGTTCTCACAGCAAGAAACAAACACTTTGCATTTCTATTTGATTTAATTCCCGTCTCCGACATCTTTTCGCCGTGCAGAGCTGCGTCTCCTTGACGTACCAGAAAACTACGATCATGGGTTCGAATCCAAACACCATACACATACACCACTTAGAGATGTCCTCTCACATCAAGCTGACACGCTGTGAAATAATTCAAATTTCGTTCAAAGCGGCACTAAACCTAACTCACTCACTCGTCTTTTTAAAAAACGGACTGTTTCTAACCGTCACGTAGATCGGATGTGGACAAGGTATTTCCACTGGGCATTCGATCTACACCGTTAGGTCACTGAGGACCCCTGGTCCAGAGAAAAACAAAGTAACCCATGCAAGCATTTGCAGCCTGCAATTATACTATCATCCACTTGTCCGTCTAGCAAATACTAACTGGAATATTGCTAGTTTAAAATATTAAACCACTTGCTCAATGTTCAACGAACTGTGCCCGTCCAAGAGTGCAGGTTATGCACACAGAACATATTAATGCGCGAAACAATAAACTCTGCTTTTAGCAGACATGTTTTATGATAACGGAAATGGTTTTGTCATTTCTTTTATAATATAGTATCAAACAAGGCGACAATCATAAATCAGTTTATTTTTAAATCATTCCATTTTTGTAACTGACAATCACGCATTAAAATCTCTCAGCAAATTCAGTATATGGCATAGGTCTGTCAAGGCAAGAACACGAATAATGTTCTTAAATTACCATGGAGGCTCGTAGGACATACCTTAAGCTTTTGGTTGGAGGTGAAGATTTGGTCGGCAGGTCGAAAACGATTTTTCTTTTTAAAGTACGTTGTACAGGATATTTGTAATGGTCTTAAAGTTTGATTTGGATCGGGGGGTGATAAAAAGTAAACACACCTTAGCCTGGTTTGAATCTTTATGAATGTTATAAACCTAAATCTGGCAGCAGCACTTCATTGTCTATATTATTGTCAGAGCGATCTTTACCGTCGGCGGTATGTTAAAAAAACGTCATTATGATTTTTTCTTTTCTCTGGATTTCCGAATTTTAGGATCTGTGGACCCGCAAACCAAGCAGACAAAATGTAAGGCCTTACTAGTTTATGTCACAATGTAAGGCCGTGCTAGTTTATTTCACACTGCAAGGTCTTACTAGTTTATATCATAATGTAAGGTCATACTAGTTTATATCATAATGTACGGTCATGCTAGTTTATGTCATAATGTACGGTCATGCTAGTTTATGTCATAATGTACGGTCATGCTAGTTTATGTCATAATGTACGGTCATGCTAGTTTATGTCATAATGTACGGTCATGCTAGTTTATGTCATAATGTAAGGCCATGTTAGTTTATGTCACAATGTAAGGTCATGCTAGCTTATGTCATAATGTAAGGTCTTACTAGTTTATGTCATAATGTAAAGCCATACTAGTTTATGTCTTAATGGCGTATGCTTTGAAAACACATTTGTAATCACACCCTGTAACAATTGGAAAGATTAAACGGAATGACAAAAAGTAATTCTTCGTCAGTTTGTTTTTCGCACGCATGTCTTGGATGGAATGTCTACGTCATGACATTATTGTGACTAATATTTGATGGGAGCGGTGACGTAGTTTTGGTTACCAAAGGAGCTAGCTGACGCCACAGTTACCGTGGATGGTTGCACATTCTGCATGTACACAAAACGCTGGTTATTCTGCAAGAAAATAAATATAATAATGTAATGATGGTACAAGCTATGTCAAAGATATGAGAAGATTGGCATATAACGGTTGCAGCCAAAATAATACCGCGCAAAAACAGTTTTTGTTTTCTATCAGATGTTGACGGCATTTTTTCTCTAGAAATCTGACGTAACGGACAAAAAGCAACATATGATTTGTTAATGCCAGATGTAACGGGAAAAGGGAAGCATATTTGTCAATATCGCAGGGTGGATATGAATCCAGCAACAAAGTGAGTATCAACGATATTCCAGCCACATCACTGCGATCTGTACTTTATCAAGGCTTGCCCGGTAAATCAGTGATTGTGTTCGAGGAAGATATCTAATCTTTTCCCGATCACACTGGAAAAACACGTTGCCTCCGGTTTCACTTTCGTTTGTTTCAGAAAAAAACAGCATGTCTTGAAGCAGTTTCCATTAACAAAATTCCCAGCACCCCTCCCCTCAAATAAAATGAAATAGAGTGAGTGAGTGACTGTGTGAGTTTAAATAGATAAATAAATAGATAAATATATATAAACCCTCCTAAAACAGTCAGTCCCTCAGAAACAACCATATAGTTAGTCTTGTGACACGCTTCATGTACTGTTTGAGGTCGATTCTGCTCCCGGCCGCACGACCTGCAGAGATCAGTCAACCCATACATGGAACTGGCGTACCTCATTCCTACATGCGAGGATCCCAGACAGGATGGTGGTGACGAGGGTGAAGATCCAGCCGAGTGCGTTGACGATTATCACGGAGATAGACATGGCATATATGTTGGATGGGATTCCACACGCGTTACCCGGGGTGCTGGAATCACAGGGGTCACTTTATGTATTTTAACATATTTTGTTAAAAGATATTAAATATCCAACTGTTTGACTATTAACAGGACATTTTAAATCTTCGATTATATTATGTTTCTTTGACGACAGACACCACTGGCCAATTCTTAAATATAGCTTCATTTTGGGAACGGTGCGAATGAAAAAAGCCGACCAATCAAATTACATTCTTTATTCCTGACTGAGACAAGGAGGTTTATCATTAAAATACTAGCTTCTGAGCGGGAAATTATTTTCCATGTTGCCCGCTGAGAACTCAATAGGAACACATCTTATATAGGTAACTTGTATATCCTGAATAAGTATTGTTCAGTTGAAATGAACCGATGTTTATCCGAATGCATTGGGTAAAGGAAAGTAACTTGTTTCGCGTGCGTCTTCTGCTTGAGTTTTGCTGAGTTAAACTGCGGACAATTATCCCGAACCTGAATGAATGACTGTAAGATAAATTCGTTGTCATCCGTTCTGGACGGGTACATGGTGTGATGTACCCCGTGTGAGCCTATGTACCCCTCGTTCGACGGCTCACACACAGGGTACATCACACCGCAGAAAGGGCAATCAGAAAAGGTATTTCAAGTTATTTCAAGCTCATGCGCGACTGAAATCCTGTATGAGATAAGTTACAAAAGATATGGGAATTGTGACGTCACTCAATGGAGATATGATACACAAGATATATGTAGGCTGATATTTTATTTATATCAATGTCATTGACATTATACAAATAATTACTCTTGACGAGGTCAATATGCGAAATATTGGACCCCAGGACCTGACCCCTGAGGTGGTCAGACCGCCGTGAAACGTCCGAACCAGACAATCACGTTACAGGTCTATCCTAATCATGTGACGAGACTACATTCGAGATCAGAGTCAGTCACATGATTTGATACATTGAAATGTATTGTTTCGTCACGTGGTACAGGCTAACAAAATTAATGGAAATGCAAGATTCTTACTAGAGGTATAACTAATACACATATTTGTTGTGTTCCACTACAAAACAAGTCTTTGTAGATTCTGGTTATTTAAATGAGCTTTCGTGCCCCCCTATTATCCTGCAGAAGTACTGGGTGTCTTGCGCCTACTTTCCCATGTTTGAGGGACGTTCATAACTTGCACTTTTCAAGCCCATAGTAAACTAACGGACAAAAGAAACGCCACCAAACAATTTTCTGGTCTAAAACAAAACAGACGCAAAATTTAGTAACAGTTGATATTATATTGTAAAAAAATTTATTCAAAAACGGTATTTGAAAATGACATGATCAAAATCCATGTACTTAAAGTTCTGCAGACACGTTGATCATGCTGGGTCCACTGTCCAGTATTCGATCACACCCGCAGAATCGGCGTCGATGTCTTTTAAAGTCCCGTGCTACACACATGGCTCGGTATCGGATCTGACCCCCTCCAGCCACGATGCAAGCCCTAACACGACGTCGAACTGATTACACGAGTCTCCTGACATCCTGATTAGGGTTCGAATTCCTGCAGGGCAATCGCCAAGGTATCCATCTTCAATGGCGGCTGTTGACGTTTCCGAATCCTGCGTCCAAGTTGGTCCCAGATGTGCTCTATGGGCGACAGGTCCGGTGATCTGGCTGGCCACTATAATACGGTCACGTTGTTGGCGTTCGGAAAGTCGCTGGTGACTCGAGCTGTATGAGGGGCGGCGTTGCCCTGCTGAAACAGTGTCCGTGGGTGTCGTTGCAGGAAAGGCAGTACCGCAGGCCGCAAAACCTCCTCAATGTAACGACTGCCACTGATGGACAGTCCTGGCCCATCTCAGTCTGGGACGTCGGTGTAGAAACGTTAAGGTGAAGCCCTTGAAAGGTCGATAGGCACGGAGACCATACAGGCGGAGACGTCTAGCAACGGTCCTTCTGCTTACTGGATGTCCAATGCTCTTTTCGGATGATGGCGTCACAGTTAGGAATTTGGACATTAGGTGAAGCACCCGTAAATACCGATCTTCCTGTGGGGTGTTCCACTTCTGGGCCTGTCTGCAGTACTGCCAGTTCGCCTGTGACGTGTGACAAGTCTGGCGATGATGCACATGATCATGGCAACGTGCTCCTGCGTCGCTCCCATTTGCAACATACCGATGGCTCTCTCCCTCTGCTCTGCGGTTAGTCGAGGCATGTTCGTCGTTTTAAACGGTTTCATGTGATGAGAGAGTATAATACTGCTCATGTTTTAAACCAGAATTCCATACGGGCAACCTTGTGCGCATTTTTCATTTTTTAGTGATTTAATTCTCTTTTCCCGAAAAATTACGCGAAGCACGTGCACATGTTCATTCCAGCTACATGTATGTGTTCCCAACTGTTTTCGTGCAGTTTGGCAAATTTGTTGAAAACTGACGACCATTATTTATTTGGTGGCGTTTGTTTTGCCCGCTAGTTTATATAAGTTGTAGCAGGATCACGATTGGTACATGGGGTTTTCTGCGTCTCGCGTTAGGTTTTATACCCCATGTACCCCGAGTGATCCTGCTGCCACGAATTTATCTCACCGACATGTTTTAATATGACATTGTAAATAATTAAAACAAATTCAAAATTGATAGAAAACAGCTGTTCCATTTGGCGAAGGACAACTTGTTCTATGTCACATGACTTTCATTCAAGTGACTCGAAAGAAACGTGCGTCTTTTTGCCTCTCAGAAATCCACGTGCAGCCTGTCTTCCTCGTGGCGGGGCATAAGAGTTTTATTCTAATGCTGAGACATTTATTTTACTCCAAGGCGGGATACATATTATCAAGATCACGTGGACCAATCAGATCTCACCATTCTGAGATGGAGGTATAATAAAATATATTGTTACATACATGCATCCAGGTCCATTTACACCAATCTCAGCAATGGCAGCAATACTGAGGATCCCTATGATGAAGAAGACCCCCATGACCAGTAGGGTGATGATACAAAACACCATATGTGTGATGTACTGGAGTAGAAATATGCATGAGTCAGCAGTTGCGAAATACGGAGCAACATTTACATGCAACCAACCGATTGCAGTTGCAATTCTTAATTTCATGTCAATATTTATTATCACAGCCTTCTATATAAAGACACAGACAAATGTTTCTCTGCAGAATCTCAATGTTACATTTCTTACACTTTGAAAGCCTGAAGCAGCAGCACCGTGTATCACTGTTGATATGTCTCAATGCTACAGGGGGCACGGGTCGCTTAAGGCGCAGCGATTCGCTGTGCAGAGTTGCGTCACATGGGCCCGCCAAAAAACCTATGATTGTGGGTTCGAATCCCGGTTCGCCCCGATTAAGTTTCTAGGTTTGTCAGCACCATACCAGTGCTCGTGGCTTTCTTCAAAGTGTTAAACGTCTGAGACCAGCATCACTTTGGGCTTTTTCCCCCACAATTAGCTGACACGACGCGATATAACTGTATACTGTTAAAAGCGGCGTTAAACTAACTCACTCAATGCAACATCGGAATGAAATATCAAAGGGAGACAACTATACATGGTATGTTATCTTTCCTGACCTCACACAGTCAGATAAATAATATCGTATGGATGTTATATCCTTTATACACTATGATACATTCAGCAGTCAGTTTTCAAAATAAATAGTACCAGCATGTGATAGTACCTGCAAGTGAGTCTCTCTGTATAAGAAAAATGATGCGAAGATCTTGCTTACCATTCCCTTTGCTTTCACCAATGAGGCGACAAGTCCCATGAGCCCAGGTACCATGTACTGGAATTATACATATAATAACTTCAAAAGTAACATTTTGAAGAATAATCTTCAGAGTTAGAATTTTAGCAGTTAAAACTGGACTAAGTAAATTTATATTTTCGGGTCGGAGATTTACAACGTTTTTACCCACATCACGTTAAGGGAACGCCGCCATCACGTTACTGGGAAGTCTTCTTCAGACGGTAAACACTCACTCAACATGCATTATATGCATTACATAAAAACATTTATTTTCTTAACAATGAGTAACCGACACTCAAAAACACTATTACTCTAACGTTGTTTGACAGTAATATAAGATACAAGACATTATTAAAATTATATTAGGAAAACAAGCCAACATACCGCAAATCCGACAGCCCATATCGGCATCGTTGATAACATGCTCACGGTACTTTCGTCAGAGGGTAGATCTTCCAGCGAAAGTAATTCTCTCATTATGACACCAAGCAGAGCGCTGAACGCGATGCCTGAAATGTATTGAAAGTCGTGTATGAACTATTACCAAGGATAACAAAATATCTAATGTTATGGGTATCTTGGTTTCCAAAAATGAGCATATCGGTAGACGGGGCGTGTTGACCAATCAATCACTGCTTCAGTTTCCACGTGTGTCGGGAACGTGTGGCCTTGTCTTCCAACAGCTGCCTGGAACCAGAGACATCTGAACACACACATACATGTATATGTACTGATACATTTATTCATAAACAAGCGGGCAAAAGATACACCATAAAATAAATAATGGTAGGGATAATGGTCACTCGGGATACACGGGGTTTAATGCGTCCCTAGTGGTCCCTCCGCTTCGTGGTATAAAACCTAACGCGAGACGCAGAAAACCCCATGTACCCATCGTGATCCTTCTACAGCTTATATAAACTAGCGGGCAAAAGAAACGCCACCAAATGAATAATGTTCGTCAGTTTTCAACAAATTTGCCAAACTGCACGAAAACAGTTGGGAACACATAGCCGGAATGCAACTTACCTAATTCCTGTGAACATGTGCATGTGTTTCACGTGATTTTCGAGGAAAGTGAATCACTGAAAAATGCAAAATGTGCTCAAAGTTACCCGTATGAAGTTCTGGTGTCAAAGATGAGCAGGATTGTACTCTTTCATCACATGAAACCGTTTAAAACAACGAACATGCCTCAGAGAAGAGCAGAGGGAGAGAGCCATCGGTATGTTACAAATGGGTGCGACGCCAGGATCATGGGCTGCTTCAAGTGCACCATCGCCAGACTTGTCACACGTCACAGGCGAACTGGCAGTACTGCAGACAGGCCGAGGAGTGGAAGACCCCACAAGAAAGCCAATGTTTACGGGCTTCACCTAATGTCCAAATTTCTAACTGTGACGCCATCATCCGAAAAGAGCCTTGAACATCCAGTAAGCAGAAGGATCGTTGCTGGACGTCTCCGCCTGTATGGTCTCCGTGCCTTGTCACACGTCACAGACGAACTGGCAGTACTGCAGACAGGCCGAGGAGTGGAAGACCCAAGGTCACGACCCCACAGGAAGACCGGTATGTACAGGTGCTTCCCCTGAGGTCCAGATTCCTAACTGTGACGTCATCATCCGCAAACAGCCTTGGACATCCAGTCGGCAGAAGAACCGTTGCTAGACGACTCCGCCTGTGTGGTCTCGGGTGTTTTAGGTGTTTTAGGTTATATGACGGTACCTGTGCGAGGAAGGTACGTCAGTCACGTACTGTCACTATACAGGAGTTTTAGATTATCTGACGGTACCTGTGGGAAGAAGGTACGTCAGTCACGTACTGTCACTAAACAGGTGTTTTAGGTAATCTGACGGTACCTGTGGGAGGAGGGTACGTCAGTCACGGACTGTCACTATACAGGAGTTTTACATTATCTGATGTGTACCTGTGGGAGGAGGGTACGTCAGTCACGTACTGTCACTACACAGGTGTTTTAGGTTATCTGATGTGTACCTGTGGGAGGAGGGTACGTCAGTCACGTACTGTCACTACACAGGTGTTTTACATTATCTGATGTGTACCTGTAGGGGGAAGGTACGTCAGTCACGTACTGACACTACACAGGTGTTTTAGGTAACCTGATGTGTACCTGTGGGGGGAAGGTACGTCAGTCACGGACTGTCACTATACAGGTGTTTTAGGTTATCTGATGTGTACCTGTGGGAGGAGGGTACGTCAGTCACGTACTGTCACTACACAGGTGTTTTAGGTAACCTGATGTGTACCTGTGGGGGGAAGGTACGTCAGTCACGTACTGTCACTACACAGGTGTTTTAGGTAACCTGATGTGTACCTGTGGGGGGAAGGTACGTTAGTCACGTACTGTAACTATACAGGTGTTTTTGGTTATCTGATGTGTACCTGTGGGAGAAGGGTACGTCAGTCACGTACTGTCACTATACAGGTGTTTTAGGTTATCTGATGTGTACCTGTGGGAGGAGGGTACGTCAGTCACGTACTGTCACTACACAGGTGTTTTACATTATCTGATGTGTACCTGTGGGAGGAGGGTACGTCGGCCACGTACTGTCACTATACAGGTGTTTTAGGTTGTCTGATGTGTATCTGTGGGAGGAGGGTACGTCAGTCACGTACTGTCACTATACAGGTGTTTTAGGTTATCTGATGTGTATCTGTGGGAGGAGGGTACGTCAGTCACATTCTGTCACTACACAGGTGTTTAGGTAATCTGATGTGTACCTGTGGGAGGAGGGTACGTCAGTCACGTACAATCACTATACAGGTGTTTTAGGTTATCTGATTGTACCTGTGGGAGGAGGGTACGTCAGTCACGTACTGTCAGTACACAGATAATTTAGATAAACCATTTGTTGGTGTTGATAACATCGATGTGTGCACGAATATCACCCTGTTTTCTGGGTCATGCTAGGAGCTTTACTGAAAGCTGTAGATATGATATCAGTAGGTTGATATTTGCCTACCTGGATGTTGTTGCAGCACAGGGGGAAATTCAACGACAGTTGGTTTTGAAACACGTTATAAAAAGTCGATTGACAAGGTAAATAATACAGTGACATCAACGCAGATCGGATGTAAAATGTATTCGAATTGTGAGCTAACAAACGGTAGACTTCATACATTATTATAGTTTTTCTTTCGATTTGGAAGCAATTTTCCAAAGAGAAATTGATACATTGTCAACTAATTTACTAAAGAAATGATATTCAGTAACTATTATTTTGCAGGAAGTCATAATACTAGACTGGCATGAGGGAAACTTTGAAGGCTTGGGAATTAATATTTAATCCCACATTACATTATCTATGGGTAATAAATGCAAGACTCGAACATATTAATAGATTAGTGGGAGGCTGAAAAAAGACATCTAACATTAATAGGTAAAATCACAGTAATTAAGACTCTGGCTCTTTCATGATGGATATACGCAAATTAATTGATTCTTTGAAATTATCATTTTTAAGGAGTTTACAAAAACCGACTTTGTCAACATCAAATAACTTTCAATCAAAACAGATATTTCTTTTGGGAGCAATTATTGATAAGTTCATTACTTTGAAAAATCCCTTTTGGGGGGATATATTGAATATTTGGGGTAATTATTTCATAAAACATAAAGTTAACAAATAAAGTATTGAAGAAGTTTTATCAGAGACAATATGGTTCAATCACAAATTTAAAAATAATTTCATTCTAAAACATCGGTTTTAGAAAGGTATTTATAGTTTAAAAGATTTATGTAGCAACAGCAGATTTTTAACATTTGAAGAATTACAAAACAAATTTCAAATTAAAGGTACTTTACTTGACTACAACAGAGTAATGCTAAATATCCCTAAATCCTTGAAAAAAGCAATAAATGGCAGATTTTGTATCATAGCTAATTTATACATAAATAACATTTTTAGAGACTTGTTGATAAGAACAAAGGGCTTCAGAATATTTTATGATAAACTTATAGCTACAACTAACTTTCCTCTGATGTATGATAAATGGGGCATTTTCAAGGCATTTTATGGAATAATGTTTCCTCTAATTGTAGAATGTGTACCAATGATGTTAAACTAATAGACTTCACGTACAGATTCATAAATAGAGTTCTATATACCAAAAAGGAATGACTGAAAATGAAGTTAAAGGATGATGATATATACTCATTTTGTGTCTCTGAATCTGAAAACGTATACCATGTGTAAGTTGAATGCGTTTTTGTAAGGGAATTTTGGTTAGAAATTGAAATATATCTAAACGGGAAACTTGCATATGATATTCATATAGTTATTTAGCTACAACAAAAACAACTACCTTTTCAACCATATAATTCTTCTTGCAAAAAAATACATTCACCAGTCCAGCATTAAGAAAACACCATTTTGCTTTCCTTTTATTTCATAAAAATATTGAAAGATAAATGTAAAATAGAAAAAAATTATCGCATTGAAACATAACAGTATTAATAGATTCGACAGAAAATGGAAGAAATTATCAGCCTACTTATTATTATTTCTAAGTCAATCAATATATGTACACACCCATATCTGACCATGTTTTAAGATTCTATGAATTGCTACACGTATATATACCTCATGTACCAAGGTTACATTTATGTCTACTGAATTGAAATAAAATTATTTTAAAAAAACCAAAACAAACTATTATTTGCTTGTATGCCACGAATAACATAAACGTATCAATGTAATATGACATAAAACATATTTTCAGCATCACTGACATTCTTAAATGTGATGGACAAAGCAGCAGAAAGGGTAATCGAAGTGTAAAACTCACTCACTCACTCACTCACTCACTCACTCAACTCATCCCAAGACAATTACAGGGAGAATCCCACTAACTCACTCACTCGCTCACTCAACTTACCACATCCCACGACAATTACAGAGAGAATCCCATCAGCAATGTTGTTTTTGTCACCGGGGGTGCCCGCCATAGTTTCAGTGTGATGCTTTGGTCCACTTGCGTTCTACTGACACTGAACATATGATAATGTTATCATGGGTCCTACTCTCTACACGTATTGGATGTGTGATGGCGATGTGAGGAGCTTCATAGCGTTGTTATCAATTATAACCAAAGGTCACAATGTGTATACACATGAAGACTTTCACATACCTTTAAGAACAATAATAATAATGCTAATAATGATAATATAAAAACTCACTTTATAATGCGCCAGATTCCACTGACCAACCTACATTGCTCTTGTCTTTTGATCAGTGTACACTTATATGTCATTCTTATTTACCTGGGGTGAGTGAGGGAGAAATTGAGTTTAACGTCGCGTCCAAGATTATTGCACTTATATAGCGACGTGCATGTACGTGTGTGTGTGTTTGTGTGGCTGCTTGTACTAGTCCGGACTGATGCCGATTAATAGTGCTAGCTCACTGAGATAAAGTGTCGCAGTCTTTTCGTATGACGCGGACGGGGATCGAACCCCGGACCTTCCGTTCTCCCGGCGGACGCTCTACCACTAGACCACGGAGGCGGTCTATTTACCTGGGGAGAAGACAACACAATGTGTTAATCTTACTCTTTCATCCAGTGACACCATTCACTGCTTCGCGATCAGAGGCATATTTCGAACAGTCTCACGAGTTACCAGGTTTCATCTGGACTGCTCTGATGGTCGTGCAAGAGTATACAGGCATACAGGAGAATGTTGTAGCGACGCTTGCTTTACTCAAAGTGGTCAGTTTGGGGGTGGAAGTGTAATGGCATGGGGTAACATCACAACACAACACAACTCAGCACAACACAACACAACACAACACAACACAACACAACACAACACAACTCAACACAACTCAACTCAGCACAACACAGCCTTGTTAATGACACTTTGAAAGGCTCACGCTGTGTGTTCGTTTCTATTATCGGACGAAGTTAGAGTCGCTACGTGGATCAGCAAATTACAGATGTTTCATTCTTAACCTTCCACTTACAAATAGTGGGCTGAACAGCGACACTGTACCCGACTCGTTAACATAGGGGGAGAAATAGAAAAGACCCAGGTCCAGTTTACAGTCTGGTGCTGCCTGCAATGATATTGCTGTAATATAGCTGAAACGGCGTACATCATACTCACTCACACACTCTGTAGCGTGAAGAGTCAATGCCTGTAATAACCATCCGATACAGACAAGGAGTAGTGAGGTGAGGTGAGGTGAGGTGAGGTGAGGTGAGGTGAGGTGAGGTGAGGTGAGGTGAAATTGGGTTCAACGTTGCAGTCAAAATTATTGCACTTCTTTAGCAACCGTGCGTGCGTGCGTGCGTGCGTGCGTGCGTGCGTGCTTGCGTGCGTGTGTTGCTGCTTGTTGTCCAGGCTCATGCTGGTTTTATAGTACCATAACATAGTATAGATACCATACCTACCATACCACCTCTCTCTCTCTCTCTCTCTCTCTCTCTCTCTCTCTCTCTCTCTCACACACACATCTATCTTCCATCTTTTACATGTTCTAATGGGTCATACGTGTAGATACATGATGGGCAATTGAGAAAATATTTTACTGAAATAGGCAACACCAGTTCAACAGGATAAATCTATCACTTTGATAAGAGACCGCCATGCTTGAAGTTGACGGACACAGTCTCGGAATCCGTATTACATCGGACTTGCTGTTTAGTTGGTCACGTGAATTGATTGGCAGGTGGCCAAAGGTTAATTATCTCCATTAGGGGCCACACTATTTATTATAATAAATATGATGGTGAAAAAAACAAAACGAAAAGAGGTGTTTAATGTTGGATATCATAACTTAAACTATAGGCCTTGATAAAAACAAATTAAAAAATATATGTTTCCATAAAATCCTAACCAACAAAATCTACGTAGTTGTGAGACTAATATATATATCTTAACAAACCAATGTTCTCAACATGTGCGCAAGTTGGTGGGAAGGCAAGGTCACCGACCCATCACCGTTTTCACCAGTTCACTTTCCAAATAGGAATTATACATAGTACAATGTCATGTATTTGAGGTAAATATCTCATCGAAAAACAAATGACGTTCCGACAAAGGTGTGGTATGTTGATGGCATAGATTGGGATAGATTCATACAATAAGTGCTTGTACTTTGATACATGCAGATAGCACCATCACGAAATCACGTTGTCGAAGCAACGTCACGTGACACACACGAGGAAAGCAACCAGGAAGTGAGACGCGGGCAGAAAGACGATTCACAGCGGAGCAGGTATTGAGGTATGTGATGCATTTTATACAGCAGTGTACAGATGACTTTTTGTAATAGTACCTTGTTGTGGTGTAGCATATATTTCGTTTGTTTATGTAAAGGGGTCTGTTTCTTTTATTTACTAACAAATGTATGTGAGGTGAGGTGAAATGGGGTTTAACGTCGCGTCCAAGATTATTGCCCTTATATAGCGACGTGCATGTACGTGTGTGTGTTTGTGTGGCTGATTGTACTAGTCCGGACCGATACCGACTTATAGTGCTAGCACACTGAGATACCATGCCGCAGTTTAACATGAATACCCCACTCAGACACAGTGTACTGACTCCGAGCCGACCAGTCCTTGTTTTAGCCCCTTAATGCCGCGAGCCAGACAGGGTAACAACAAGTACCATCTTTTAAGGTCTTTTGGTATGACACGGCCGGGGATCGAACCCCGGACCTTCCGCTCTCCGGGCGGACGCTCCACCACTAGACCACGGAGGCGGTCTCATATGTATGTATAATGTGTACATGTAGTTAAACAACGACTGCCGTTTCACTTTAATACAGAAAGTAGACTTGGTATTCCCTGTCTGATTAAAATAGGATGGCATCTGGATATTTCTGTGAAAGGCGGTTAGCAGCTGAAATCTCATCACTGGAAAAGGCTACCCACTCTCGGTGTGATGCTACTAAGTATTAGTGTTATCAACATTAAATAACATGGAGCTAGACAGACTGGGACGGTCGATCAAGGCTTCGTGACGATAAACAGAGATTTTCCCCTTTGAACTACGAGCGATATCGGCTTGTGTCGCCCACTTGACTTGGGGTCGTGGCGAGCGTGGTGGTGGTGTCTGTGTGTGTGTGCGTGATTGCATGAGTGTGGGTGCGCGTGTGCGTGTGTGTGATTTAGTAGGAAGTTAGCTAGCGTGAATTTCCCTTTATGAATATATTATATGTCACAAACATGTACTTGTATACACACGTTTGGCGCTTAATATTCAATACTTGCATTTACCACCATTTAAGAGGTAACAATAAAGGTGGGAATGATATACTATATTACCATCATGAACCTGTATGTAACAATAGTCCATATGCATATGGAGGCTAAACAGAAGCGACGCGATTAACAGAATTAAGTTAAAAGTGAATATAGCAGAACTGTTTCCACACAGCTCCGATGCTGCTGGCTGTTTTCAAGTAGAACAGACCTTTTGTTACAATGTATGTCATGAAAAGGTGAACCGAATACCACAAAACAGACCAGTGTGTTCATATATACATTTCAGCATTAACCTGTGTATAGTTTGCCGAATCAGAGATCTGGGACATCAGGGTGAGTGAGTGAGTGAGTGAGTGAGTGAGTGAGTGAGTGAGAGAGTGAGTGAGTGAGTGAGTGAGAGAGTGAGTGAGAGAGTGAGTGAGTGAGTGAGAGAGTGAGTGAGTGAGTGAGTGAGTGAGTGAGTGAGTGAGTGCGTGAGTGAGTGAGTTGTGGTGGTAAGATACGGCACTCTCAGCAACATTCAAGTACATACACAACTTCCCAAGGAAATGGTTATTTTGAAACAGTATAAAACTATACACACAAACTGCATGCCTTAGTCTCGTGGTGTATTCGCCCATTCAGCTTGTAAAGTCCCATAGACCTCGCTAGAAACACATGTTATTCAGAGTACTATAAGAAACCCAAACAGGCTTTTAAATGGCTTATTTTACACAAGAACATTATGCAAATTGAAAAATAGCCACAACGGAAACGACTTTGATGTTCTAGTTTTGGTTTGAACTGCGTCACACGTATTTTCTATGCACGCGCTTTATGATTAACATGATTGTTTGTAAAGCAATACCTATGTACATATTCTGGTAGCAGCTTCAACAACAGCATGTATTTCATTTATAATTATATGCAGTCATTACTTTTTATTATATGTACATTTACATTGTGTAGCAGATAAATGCAGGAACCTACAGATACAAGAGTTATCTCCCTTCCCACTTACCGTCACTGAGGACTTTGCCCCAGTCCTGAGTGTGTCGAGGAGACTTCTGTTGTCTGTAATATTAATTCTAAATACGCATGTCCTATTAAGATGTTACATCATTGGATGTCGGTGTGGATACATTCTCTTACATGTTCTATGAAGGCAAATCAGTGTTGTTTGTTTCAGACCCTATCCTTTCTTCAGATACAATATACGCATCTATATTTCTTTAAGCCAGATGTTATACTTCAGATGGCGACCGCCAAGAAACTAACAGACAATCACCTGACCTGTGTCATCTGTACTGAGGTGTTCACAGACCCAGCCACACTTCAGTGTCATCATACATTCTGTAAGTCCTGTCTGCTGAAATACACCAAGACACAGCCTGAAGCAGTACAAGCCAAGTCCATCCCATGTCCCTCGTGTAGACAACTGACGAAGGTGACCACCCTTGACAGTCCAGTAGAGGAGTGGGTCAGTCAGCTGAAACCAAGCCACGTCATACAGGGGCTGATGGACGACTTTGGACCAGGGGCAGAAGGTAACTGATTGAAAGTATATGTTCAATAAGTATAACCAATACTTAACAAGAGATTATGAGGTTTAATCCAATTGCAAAACTGAATTGCATTCTGTTGCATATTTAAGAAATAAACGACTCGTGGTCCTTGTTAATCATACAATAAAATACTGCAGGGAGAATAAACCATGAGTCGCTTATTTTTTATTTCGTATATGAGATGCCATTTTTTACATCCTTTGATGTCAATAAATTGTTCAAGTTTGAAAAACATTTACCCGTATTTAAATAATCATGACTCCCTGAATTCAATCCGACCTCTTAAATGTCGGACAGCTACAGTTTATGTCGAGGGAAGTTAAGTTTGGTATTCCCACAATACTGACGTCGATTATCTGCTCCTTTCCTCCAAGTACTGATTGTCATATCTCGCCTACTTTTGGGTGCGATCGGTCGGCCATTGCGTTCATCTGCGCTCTCCAGCTACATCTATGGGGAACAACTTCCATCTGAAAAATAACGTTGTCCAAGTTACGACGTCATCAAGTTTCGAGCGCCTGTTTATTGTTTTATCATTGTTCTCTACGATTTATCGGGTAGCTATCTTATATTTAACACTAATGAATTGATTCACATGAATATTTAATAATTATATGTGATATTTTTATTCCAATAACCTTATAGTTTTCCTTTGAATATAATGATTTATATACGTTTATCCAGAAAACACAGGTTGATGTTTGTCATTACAGCTGCCGATGCAAATGTCTGCAGTGTTTGCAAAACACAAGGGAAGACAACTCCTGCCACATCATGGTGCTCCGTCTGTGACGAGGTCTTCTGTGATGGATGTCTGAAGATGCACAACATCATGCCAATGTCACGTGACCATGACGTTGTGGATGTGTTAAATGCTACCAAGAGAAAAGCTAGGCATCGCTTTATGTGTAAAACACACAAAGACAAACAGATAGAGTTGTTCTGTAAAGATTGTAAGATGGCCATTTGTCATACATGCTGCAGTATAAAACATAGGAAATGTGACGATGTTGATACCTTAGATAATATGACTCCTCTTGTTAGAGAACACCTGTCAAATCAAAACCAAGAACTGAAAATCAAAATGACAACTTCAGAAAATATAACCATCTTAAGGAAATTTCAAATCAAAGAATTTCAGACAAATGCGCAAAATATTAAAGATGAAATCAGAAATATACGTCAGAGAGTGGTAGAAGTCATTTTAAGCAAGGAAAAACAACTACTTGATAAAGTCGACCGATCATCCGATGAACAATTACATGAATTACAAGCAGAAATAAAATCCCAGGAGATTGAGCTGCAGATGTACCAGCAGCAGTATGAGTTCACAGCCAATGCTGTGACGTCCAACTGTGAGAGGGACATGTATGCTGTCTACGAGTCGGTGGGTGAGGCGTCTACAGACAACGGAGACACGGGCAACAGACTAGCAGCAGGAAGGGTTGTATTCACACACGACATGGACAAGCTGAGTAAAGCAGTGGAAGAGCTACAGCTGGGGGAGGTTGCAGTTGTCCGTGGTGTGAGTGACCGCCAGTCTACCCCTGTTCTACATCACACTATTGACTTTGTGTCGGACGGTGGTAAGAGGGATATTCATTTGAATGACGTCACAGTGTTGACTGTTGGTGATATTACAGTAACAATAGTTGCAGATTACCATAACAAGAGCCTCAAAACATATCACACATCAGACCCAAACACGCTTGGTAATCTACTGCTTTCTAATTGGCCTTGGCAAATAGCAAAGTTAAGTGAGAGTCAGATAGCTGTCAGTGTTCCATCGAGTAAGGAGATAGTTACAGTGAATGTTACCCCAGATCCTGTATTGCTGTCAACAATCAAGACAAGCAAGATGTACTTCGCTCTGTCCACTCTGAGTCCTTCACAGCTGGCGGCGGGTACATGTAGACAGCCTCACTCTGTGGACATACTGGACATGACAGGGAGGATACTGAAGTCTATCAACACCGGTGTCATAAGGAGTCCAGACTATATCCATGTCACCAGTAATAACAACTTAATAGTCAGTGAAAGACGAGTTAACTCCCTTGTATGTGTGACCAGTGAAGGAGAAGCTGTTTTCACCTACACTCCCACAGCAGACAGAGCTTGGACATGGCCTTGGGGTATCACAACAACCAGCACAGGAGATATCCTGCTTGTAGACAGAGACTCCCACAAGGTGATTAAGCTGACAGAGTCGGGGCAGTTTGTCAGAGATGTCCTCACACATCAGGATGGTCTGAAAGATCCCCGTGGTATCTGTCTTGATGGGAACGGGTTTCTGTATGTTACATGTGGCCGATGTGTCAGCGTATTTAAATTTAAAAAAACTGTGAAGTGAGACATGTCTACATATGTACATGGTTAAGAACATGAGAGGATTCCTCCTTTACGGCAATTTCCGATCTTGTTCATTGCTTTCAACAGTAATTCACATAGTTAAGATATTACATCCACTATTGGAACGGAATGTCACAGAGAGAAGGCCTATCTCATGGCAGTACCTGAGATCACGTGACCTGAGTCCGCTCACCTAAAACAGGTGATGTTATTTACTGTTGTATAGTATATGTTTGAGGTGTGTAGTTGGTCAGTCCCCTGGCTTCTTAAAATATTTAATCTTGATTGAATCCCTTCGTGTGTGCTGATACATGTGTTAGTCGTTGCTCTAATGTTTTATTTGACCTTCTTGCAGAAATGTCCAGCAATTCATAACGTAAGCGTACTACCAGGAAACTGTGATGTTTATGTTTGATCACATGAAATATATAATACTTAACAATACTTTGTCTACTACAGCAACTTGTCACGGTTCCCTCAGAGTTTGAAATTAATTTCTAACCGCTTTCGATTCGTTAAGGGGGGATAATAAGTAGCGGATGCCTTCAGAACTGTTGAAGTACTATTAAGTTCGATCACTATTATCGACAGATTCTAAATAATATGACGGACGCGCTAGTGATTGGAGTTGCCGTAAAAGATCACAATACCAACACTGATCAACCATAAAAAACTCCAGCATAGAAAAAATATTGTATTACTTTTCTTAAAGTTTCCGCACCGTTTCAGTTTGATTTATGTTCAAGGCAGACGGAGCTTTCACACACATTTAGAAACATTCTCGTATAATCCCTTTACCTCCTCACCATCTCTGAGCATTATAGGCAACACACGTAGTAAAACTATATACTAATAAGGGGTTGCCGAGATAAGTATTGCCGATATATTCAAACAATTCAGTTGCAAAATTAGTGATTAGAATACATCACTGAACATCAGTAAATAACTAATTATTACACTTTTGAGTTAAGGAACGTTACTGAGGAATTTCCTATTACGACACTTTGTCAGTTTTCTATCGCAGTCATTAAATTCGACGCTTTGTTCCACTTTGGGCTTTCTTTCCATTAAGCTGACACATGGTGACATAACCGAAATACTCTTCAAAGTAGCGTTAACACTCAACCTACTATGCAATTTATTAACATTGCAAAGTGTTTACAATGCTTCCACATTTGGTGGGTAGACAGTTGTCAGGATTCCTATTTGTCTAGATCCTTACATTAAACAGGTACAACTCCTAATACTACAGCAACTAAACATATATCTTCTTAACTTGTTTGTTCTCCTTCATTTAGCAGTAAGACCCCATTGGGATTCAGGTTACAGAGGCCCCCAGCAATCTGTGTATGTAGTAAGAGACGATTCAATGGATCGTGTGCTCGGGTCGGATCATTGTGTATCACCGTGCTCGTCGATAGTTGTTATAATATCAATCACCAGATAGTCTGGTTCCGACTCGTACAGGTCGACTCTATATAGCCGGAATATTGCTTGATACGGCCTTGAACAGCAAAAAACAACCATGGAGGAATTTTATCCAGAAAATGAGTTAAATGGTGATGATTTGAAGTTTCCTAATGTTAGTAATTAGTTACACTCACATGTAGTTTTGACCCGCGTGTCCATGTCCATGTGTATTGTAGGGTTTATTGTGGGATTTGTATCATGACTGTTGGGATACATAAAAATAAAAGTTTCTCGTCCCATTTGTTTCTAAAGTAAGGAGGGAGCTTGGACTTTTTTAACATTGAAAAATGTCATCATGGAGGATTCTTATTTTCTGCCCTTCAAGCATACCCACGTGGGCATATGAATTGATTTGAGCTTGGCACAGAGACCAGGAATGTGCTTCCTCCATTGTGTCACATCAAGACAATGAATCCATGTCGGGATTCGAACCCGGGTCTTCTGTGAGACTTGTGATGCTTTGGCCATTATTATCGTCCAAATCAGGGTAGAAGTTTTAGCTGTGGATAAGAGGAAATGTTTCCTACTGGAACATGACTAATAAAAAAATTTAAATGCGTTTAAAAAAAGCAAACAAGTTAAATAGCCACACACGTAAGGAATGGATGGTATGTCTCTGGTATGTGAAATATTCCACACAAAACCCTTCTTAGGAAGTATCACTTCCTTGAAACCTTGTAAAGAGGAAAATTGGAAACGATTCAGAACGTTTCATCTCGAGTGAGTGAGGTTTGTTTGAGGGCGCTTTGAACAGACTGTGAGTTTATATCACGGCGTGTCAGCTGCATGTGGGTGGTTTCGATGTTTAACACATGAGGTGAAATTCACAAGAACGGGCCGGGTGCTGACAAACCTAGAAACATAATCACAGTAAATCTGGGATTCGAGCCCATGAGCATAGGTCCCTGTCACACCTAAGGGACGCAACTCTACACATCGATGTTGAACCAAAGCTTTAATCGGAATCAATGTAACAGTCGTATTCCCGTAAGCATAAAATGACCAACGATGGGAAACAATTGACTGTCATTTATGGACCTACTCTTTAACCGGACTAATACATCACATGAATTCATCCGGGGTAGAAAAGGTCTTTAGCAACCCATGCTTGCCGTAAAAAGCGACTATGCTTGTCGCAAGAGGCGGTTGCTGCATGTCATCGATCCCATTTCCATGGATCGATGCTCATGATATTAATCACTGGATTGTCTGGTCCAGACTCGATTATTTACAGATCGCCGTCATATAGCTGGAATATTGCTGAATGCGGCGTTAAACAACAAACCGACCAACAAACTATAGGAATTCAGCTTACGAAATACACACTATTCCTATTTTTCTTTAAGACGGTTGCAGTAGATTACAAAACAAGTTTGCAATGTGACGCTGATGAAAGATATGACACAGCAGGGCACCCTGCACACAGGTTGTACATGTAGACTATAAGCTGATACAGATGCATGTCCATGTATCCAAGGTAATTTTAAAACGCCTTAATTACCGGCGGTAATTGTCGTTAATTACCAGGGTATAGCCAGTCGCGTACCTCTTCACCTGAACTACGGTAATCCCCTCGTTCTTTGGTGCTGACTGTCTGGGATGAGCGAGAGGTACAATGTCAGTACCCGAGGGCCTTGGACCTATTACTGTAGTTCCTCCAACAAGCACAAAGAGTGATCTTCGTTTAACAGCTTTTATTCCAACTTTGTGTTGCCGGTCAACCCACTCTAATTGTCACTTAATTATGAGACTTCGGCCGCAAAGCTTCAGTCTCAGTCGAAATGCTGGTGCCTAGGTTTGGTTTCTGGTTCGAAAGATCATGACAACAAGCCGAGAGCGGAGCACCAGTCCAGATGTAGTCTCCCCAGCCGCAGCCGCTACCTAGCCGCTCTCTAGCCGTTCTCTATTCGTTCTTAGCCGTTCTCTCTTCGTTCTTAGCCGTTCTCTCGATTTGGGGCTTTTGCCCCTTTTTAAACCGGTACCTACGTCACAGCTCTACTCATTTTTCCATCTATCATTGGTCAGCCACCTTTCCCCCCTACACTAGATCATTCTAACCCACTCTTATCTAATAACCAGCACCTTATTCGGACTTGCCATGATGTAGCTTCTCACCCTTTTGGAATTCGAACTATTCCCCCCCAATACCATATATGTCTCAAGACCCTGACGTTTCCGTCCCTCTCATCTCTGTTCCACTTGTTTTTCATTTATGTATAGCCCTCGACCTACTACCCTCACCCCTGGTTACTCGTGGCCAAGTATGCTCCCGTAGTCTTCAACTATCAGAGCTGCCCGTCTCCTATATATATATCAATGTGTTATGTTTACATCTTACTGGTTTCAACTCCTCTTCTTGACCTTTATATACAATCACGGAGGTGTCCTAATGAATTGTTAATTACTTTAATTAGTTGTTAATTACTGTACTTTTATGCCTATAATACGACCCCCGTTCTGGCGAAGAGTGTGTCCCCACACTCTGAGATGGTGCCAATTCTTGTTATATTATCTGGTATATATTCCCTCTTATTTCTATGACCTATTGATTTAACTACCCTTTTATTATCTAAATATGTATTACGCTTTCGTGCCTATAATACGACCCCCGTTCTGGCGAAGAGTGTGTCCCCACACTCTTGGATGCTGTGACGCAGGGATCCGGGCCTTGTTCTGAACGTTCAGTAAATATACGAGATAATTATTCCTATTATTAGTCTTGCAACAAGTGGATTTGGTTGACCGCAACCTAACATACACATTGAGATACATTCCAATACATACATTGATATATTCCCGGAAATCCGGTTTCATAGTACAAAGCCCTTGGACTAACAATTTCATACTATTCGATAATACAACACGCTAGTTTGCTAACTAAATAATTTCAGGAGTAACCTACCTGCAATGTTTTCAGACCTGTCGGGGATCATCACTTTATCAATCCCACCAATGACAGTTTGTCAAATGTTACCTTCCATGTATTCTTGATACCGTAAATAACGTGGACAATTTAACCAGTGTACAATGATTCGTAGTACAAGTACAAGTAGCATGGACAAGTTCAGAAGGGTCACACCCTTTACGTAAAATTACAATGAATCACCCTGTTATGATTTGTACGATTACAAGAGGTTACTCCAATATTCCTTAACAGAACATGAAGGATGGACAATTCGAAAGGGTCACACACTTATGTGATTCTCAATTCCATAAGAAGGATGGACAATTCGAAAGGGTGATACACCAATGTAATTTTTAATAATTCTCAGGCAACAATCTTCACTCATGGTATCCCAATGGATATTTGTGTAAGCGAAATTATATTATGTCTATATTCGTGTACACGACATGGTGAGACCCTGAGCCAAGGATCGTTCTCATATGAGTAGCCAGCCAACATATGACGGTCACAATCGTTGTTGTTTCTGTCTGTTATTATGTATTTTGTTGTTGTTGTTTTTGTTTTTAATTTTAGGAGTATCAACACCATGGGCTTAACTTGGATTTGCTCTTGTATAAGTGACTCGTGGGAGTGAGCTTTCACTACTTTCACTTCAAGTTATTTTTCCGTGTATCGGGTTCTGTCTGATAAGGGGCCATGACATGTCATGTGATTTTTAAGGTGTACCTGCCCAATAAGCAACACGACCTGGTCGGCAATTATTTCAGATCTCTCTCGGTGGCCCCAAGGTGGTATAGTTGGCTATTATACCTGTCGATTCGTTAGTCAGCTTGTCTGTAATGTAAGTGTGCTATCTACCGGTGTAGTAGTCAATTTGTCTGGTGTCATCATGTTGTGCCGTTATAGTAACATCAATAATTCCTGGCGCCCATGTCCTGTACGACAGAACCGACTATCACCCTTGCAGAAGATGGCTATTCGGTCCGGGCAATAAAATTCACTTTCGTTATGAAGTTACGTGGCGGCAGGCACCTCCTATTATTTGATACCAGTTTCCCACATGTCACCCACCTCCATTGCGCACTGGTGGTAGGCGACATGTTCTTAATCCTGACACCCCTGATATCTATCCTATGATACGCTACATCACTGACTCCACCTAAATAATTATAACCCTGTTGACATTACTTCCTCGACAAGAACCAAACTCGTCGGCATTACTTCCTTGACAAGAAACCATCTCGTCGGCATTACTTCCTCGACAAGAAACAATCTCGTCGGTATTTCATCCTCGACAAGAAACCATCTCGTCGGTATTTCATCCTCGACAAGAAACCCATCTCGTCGGCAGTACGTCCGTGGCAATAAACCATCTCGTCTGCATTACATCCTTGGCAATAAACCAGAAACCATCTCGTCGGTATAACATCCTCGACAAGAAACCCATCTCGTCGGCATTACATCCTCGACAAGAAACCCATCTCGTCGGCAGTACGTCCGTGGCAATAAACCATCTCGTCTGCATTACATCCTTGGCAATAAACCAGAAACCATCTCGTCGGTATTACATCCTCGACAAGAAACCATCTCGTCGGCATTACATCCTCGACAAGAAACCCATCTCGTCGGCAGTACGTCCGTGGCAATAAACCATCTCGTCTGCATTACATCCTTGGCAATAAACCAGAAACCATCTCGTCGGCATTACATCCTCGACAAGAAACCATCTCGTCGGCATTACATCCTCGACAAGAAACCATCTCGTCGGCATTACATCCTCGACAAGAAACCCATCTCGTCGGCAGTACGTCCGTGGCAATAAACCATCTCGTCTGCATTACATCCTTGGCAATAAACCAGAAACCATCTCGTCGGCATTACATCCTCGACAAGAAACCAT